GCCTGTCGGTTTGCTTTCTTTTGTTTCTCGCCTGTGTGTCTCTTATTCCCGGGCCCATTTGCCCCTCCCGCGTTTTTTTGGTGTTGCTGCCTTTTCTCCCCTTCTTGTCCTTCACTTTCTTGCGGTTTCAATGAGAAAAGGGGGAGAGAGTGAAAAATATACAGTTATATTTATATATATATATATAGAGAGAGATAGCCCTAAAGGAAAAAGGGTCCAGCATTTGTGTGGCCGCCGTATCGTGCGAGTGCGTGTGGTACTCATGGGCGCTGACTCCGCAGAGCGTCGTGGCGGTGGCGGTGCCGCGGCGGGGGGCGGGAGCCCCCCACCGGAGGACCACTCGGAGACTACAGCCGCTGCACCGGTGGCGCCGCAGGATGCAGCGACAGGCCTCAAGCCCGCTGCGCCGCCACCCGCTCCTCGGCCTAGTGGCCTGGCGGGAAATTACACGGTGTGGCTTGCCGCGCTTGTGCTGCTGCTCGCTGTCGGTAGGTGGAAGTACGACGCGTACATGCGTTCTGTGGATGAAGAGCTGTTACAGACGCGGTACACCGAATACCTGATCGAGCGCTGGTCACGGGACGGGGAGAGTCTCCTCGCAAACGTTTCACGGGACCCCAGCTTCACCCAATACAAAGGGACACGTATCTACTTCCGTGCCCTCACGCGAGCCGTGCCGATTCCTGGCACCAAGCCCGTGGAATTTAAGCTCAAGATTGGGCTCCCCGAAGTGGACGACGAAAATCGTTGGCGTGGCGACGACGATGACAAGGGGCGGGAGCTGAGAAGCAAAATGCGCTGCGTTGGTGAAGAGGGGTTATTGCACCTTCATATTGTGGGCCTTCTTTCCAACGGCATGCGTTTCACCTCATCGTATGCAGAAGGAGTGGGGGCGGAGCAGCACACCTTGGAGAGATGCGTTCCCTGCCTGCAAAAGCTCTTGCCGATGATGTGCACAGGTGACAAGTGGGAGATCATATGTCCCCCGGGTGAGGGATACGGCAATGCCGGGGCTGACAGCATCCCCCCTGGCGCAACAACTGTATGGCGCATTAGCGTTGAAAGCGTGGACGGCAATAAACCACGCGGATGGCGCGAGGCAGAGGCGCTCCTCGCCGCTTCGGTGACGCACGTCGATGGCACACCGCCCATGACGCGGAAGCAACTCTTTGAAACTCCAACAAATATTTGTCAGTTTCGGAGACATTATGATTTTTTTTCTTTTTATGTTTATGAGTATATGTGTGGCTTCTCTCTTACCTTCTCTATGCCTCTCTGTATATCTCTGTGTGTATCAATGCGCATCAGGCCTCGCCGACGGTAATCCCCTTGCCTTCTCCCCTATCATACGCGCAGAGCGTTCCTGTCTTTCCCGAAAGTACAGACGCCCGCCCCTTATTTGCCTTTCCTTCAGTTGTCTTTTGCCCCCTTCTTTCTTCTTTGTGTTGTTCTGCGTGTGTGTGTGTGTTCGTTTGTGTGTGGTGGGCGGGCGGGGGCACAGTGTGTAACGCACAGTCTCACACACAGGTGCCTACAGTAAAATACGCCCAAGTGCCAAAACAAAGGCCCCAAGGCGTAAGGAATCTTCAGAAAGGTTTATTCGTCGTTTACACCTTCCTGCTCTGGGCGTCCAAGTCGGGCTGTAAAACCGGGGAGGAAGAGGAGGGGAGAAGGGGAAAAAAAAGGAATAGAAAGAGGTGTAGCGGCAGTTGCTCTACGAGAGCAAAGAAAAAGAAAAAAAAGTGAATAGAAGTTTTCGGCAGTCAGCCACCTTCTCCTTGCTTCTCCATTAGCACTTACCTGCTGCATTGCGCGACCTTCGGTTTTTCTTGCCTGAGGGAGTGTTCCATACAGACACACGCGCAAATCCCACCCTCCCGTGGCCTCCCCGCTCGCTCTCTCCCCTGTTGTGGTTCACTGTGAGGGGTCGCAGGGAGGCAACGCAAGAAGCACAGTTGTGGCGATTGGCACATTCCACGGGCGGGCGGTGGTCATCGTTGCCTGCTTCATTTTGTTTCTGCAAAACGCCGGCGCGCGGGGCTCGCCCGCGACTTGCCTCTTGAGCAGTGAACACCTCGGAAAGGAGACACAGAGGGGGGACGCGCAGGCAAGCGAAGAAGCCAGAGATAGAGGGGCGACGACGATACTCGTAGAGGTGCGCAAGTGAGCCCTTCTGTCTATCATTCTTTTTCCCTCACTGTGTGTGTGAATATATATATATATATATATACGCATATTCATTTCTGCGGGGTGCGAGAAGCAGAATACCCTGCTACCACCAATCGAACGCTGTTGGGTGAAGGAGGGCGGTGAAGACGGCGGGAGCAGAGTAGCTGCTAATAGTTGTTTTTGTTTGGTGTTTTTTTTTGTCGTCTGGCATATAACTCTATATATATGCCGTTTTCTCATCATGGTCGGAGTGACTTGTCGTCCTCGGCCTTGTTGGGGCTGAACGACTTACTTCATCAACCGGTGGGCGAAGCGGCACGTGCAGGGCACCCGGGGGCCGGTTCAAGGTCCTGCGAGGAAAGCGTCGTGTCGCGGCACTCCAGTGTTTCCGGAGAGGATGCGGAGGGCAAAGCCCATGCGCAGGCCAACACCGAGGCCAAGGCTTTGGACGCGCACGCGCTGCTCACTGTGGCCTCTTCTGTGGAGGAGATGCTGTCCATCCCGGACGACGAAAAACTGGAGGACGAGGTCCTGGTGGTGCCGCAGAACCCCGTCAGGCCCAGTGAAGATGGAGAGGGGAAGGACGACGGGCGGCGGCCTCCCTCCCCATTTTTGGTCTTGTGCTACGGCGCGCGCGGCGGTGAGCTCACAAGTAGTGGCCCGGTGGATGTCAACGTCATCGATTTGGAGAAGGAGCTTGCGGGCGTGCGGAACAAACTCAGGGCAGTGCGGGGGGATGAGGAGGAGCGGCGACAAAAACTCTACGAGGTGTGGAAGTTGGAGGCTAAAAGTAAAGCTGCATTCTCCTTGGCTTCGCCCCGTATGTTGCGAGGAGGGGGGAAACCAAGTCAGACCGCCACATCGGCCGAGGATGACGCGGATGCGTCTAGAACGGCCTTCCCAGACGCGGCTTCCAGCGTGATCGGCAATGCGGGATCGGTGGCCAAAGGAAGTCCTTTGCCTCCGCCTAAAACTGAAAGGGTGCGCGAAGACGAGAAGGATGCAGGAAATGAGACCCTGGTAGGGCAAGCTTCTGACGGCTGTGAGGACGACACCGGCTCCTCCTCATTTGCTAGAACACCTAAAAAGAAAAAGGGTGCCATGACTGTGGATTCTACTGATGTATGTACCAACAACTTTAGCTTGGGAAACTGGAAAGGCGTGCCTGTGTCGCGCGCCTGCCAGCCACAGCATAGGGATGTTAACAGGGCAGGAAAGCGGCGTTTGAGAGGGAAGCGTACCAAGAAAATACAATCTCCAGTTCTTGCTACTACTGCCAAAGGTGATGAGAAGTCTACTGCGGGAGATGAGCGTAGTGCTAGAGGGACTCGCCCGGTAGCTAGGGGCGACAAAGAAGTCGTTAATGGCTGTAGGGACGATGACGAGGAAGTGGATTTTGCCAGCTGCCCCCTTAGGTTGATGCAAACAGGTAGTGGGGGAATGCTGGAATTCGTCTTTGACGACGATGACGCTGCCAAGCGCAAGACATTTCATGAGGCTGAGACCGCGTTGATGCTAGCAGAGCAGCGCATTCTTTTGCAGATGGAAACGCTGCACCACAACCGCCTAAAAACCGGTAAACACTACTGGCAAAGTAATGAGTCTGTGAGTCATTGTACACGTTGTGGCAGACCCTTTTCCATCACGGTGCGGAAGCATCATTGCCGCCGTTGCGGTGTTCTGCTATGTAATGATTGCTGTTCGCAGGTTGGGCGTGACATGTACGCGCTTCAAACTGAGGCAACGAGTAAGATGGAGGAAGAAGATGTGCTTCTTGTGAATGAAGACGGAGAGAGTCAGGACACAGCGGCGGCGGCGGCTGAGGGCACCAGTAGCCCTAGGAATGAGTATGAGTGGATGTTTGACACCTGCGATCTCACGGACGGCTCGAGCTGGCGGCAAGACGGGGGTGACGACGACAAGAATGCCGCCCAGTTTTGCAAGCTCACGGCATCCAATGCTGCCCAGGAATCGGGGCGTGGACGCGGTGGGCTCAAGGTGCGCACTGCCCCATGGTGCCGAATTTGCAACTGCTGCTACCTTATCTGTTTGCGCGCTCGCATTGAACGGAATTACAGCGACGTCCTCAGCGACGGCCGGCGCCGCTTCCATGTGTTGCGGGACGATGAGCAGGCCTTTACAAACTTGAATATGGCGTGGGAGGCACGCGTCGCGCAACTAGATGTTCTGAAGCATCTCATCGTGGAGCGCGCCACAAGTGCCGCACAGGGGAAGATAGATCACATTGCCAGCCTCTTCAGGGAGTGGGTGCGCAGCTTGGGGCGCCGCGTGGAGAAGCCCCCCGTTGAGGGCAGCAGTAGTCGCAGTAGCTGCGGCAGTGGAGGCCAGTGAACACTCCCTGCTCCCCAGGAGCAGATTAGCGCAGGAACAACAAAAGGAAACCCCCCAAAAAAAAACAGAAAATCAACAGCTACAACACTACATACACAATTGCAAAAAAAAAAAAAGTAAGTGAGGTAGAAATTGTTTGATGAATATATTGCAAGCGAAATGAAGAGAGGTGTTCGAGGTCAGTGCTGCGCCTCACCGTCTTTTATTATTATTAAAAAAAAACAGTTGCAAATAGTTTAGTTTTAAAAAAAAGTGGAAATGCACACACTTGGCCCGCAGCTGCTGGGGAAAACCGAATTGTTGCTGAAGCGCGGCTTGTGGGGGGTTGGGCACTCTGTGTAGCGTGCATGAGCTTGAAGCAGCAGCAGGGAATCGATGGGGGAGGGGAGGGGCGTATTTGAAGGGAGCGGTGAACCTCTCTTAAGGTGTATATTTTTTTTAAAAAAAGCAAATCAACACAGTTAAAGAAAAGAAGAAGGGGACCGCGTGCCGTTGTGTAGGGTATGTAGGGTGTCTGCCGTGTGCCGTTTCTATATATCTATACGTTCTTATTTATTCTTTTTGCCCTATGCCACTGTGGGGTGCCTATAGACGAAGTGATGGCCACGCAGCCCTTCCCGCCGCCGTAACCGCCACTGCCGATGACGGCCGAGAAAGTGGCGTCGCACGCAGAAAGTTTGTGTGTGTGTGTCTGTGTCTGTGTTTGGGAGAGAAAGAGGGAGGAATGCCACGAGGACGGGCGAAAATAACAAACACGGCGAAAGTAAGCAACGAGTGAGGCTGAGAAGCACGCACGCACCATGGCGGCCGAAATGCGAGTGTCCTTCGACTCCCGCGTTTTCTCCACACCCTCCCACGATTACTTTTCTTCCACAACAATGTCACTTCCCACCTCATTTGCCTCTGTGGTTTTTTTTCCTTTTCGTGGTTTGTTTTTCCTTGTTTCTTTCTTCCCACCTGGTGTGTTGTTCTCCTTGCTTTCCACTCATTTGCACTGCCGCACGGCGGGTGCACACGGTCCCTATGTATTTGTGTTTATGCAGCTGGTTTGAGGTGCTGTCACTTGCTGCACTGAAGACGCGCCTCGAAAGGAACGGAGGAGGCAAAGAAATATGTATACATGAGATGTGACAAGCACCGCTTTTGCTCGCTAATCAACACACCACCTATGCACCTACCGGCGACTAAAACGGCACATTGTACTGGAAAACTGGAGTGTAGAGGTGCTGGTGGTTCATGCGTGCAAGGGGCGGAGGTTAAACTCCAAGCGTGTTGAACGTGAAAATGCCGTGAGGTGTCGTGTGGAGTGCATCTTTCGCCCTCATCATCTGCGTGTTTGCGGGACAAACAAAAATAAAGATGGAAAGAAATAATAGAGGAGAAGCGGCTGTGGATGTATGCAGGGACTCACTGCTTTGCACCTACTGACGCTTGGGGGGGGGGGGGTTCTCTGCCACTTTTATTTTGGATTGTCTTCTTTTTTTTTTTGCTGGCCGTTTTACCCAGATGCGTGTGTGCGTGTGCAGCTTTTTTGGTGTTTCCGTTGTCTGCATTGCTCTCCGTGCACCCTCCTGCTAGCACCACCTTTACTCCCTTCTTCTTCCTTCTGTGCGTGTGTTGCTGTTGCTGTTGTTCTTGGTGTGCTTCTTGCTGAGCAAGAATTTTACTTGCCTCGCTGCAAACGTATGCGAGAGCGTTTTCGTTGCTAAGGATGCGTGGCCGTTTTTATGTTGTTTTTCTTTTTTCCCTTTTTTTTGGCGAATGGCGCTATGGTTGCCAGTTCTTTCCCGCTCCGCTTGCATTCCTCTCTCTCT